AACAAATGTTCGCGAAATAACGCGTCTACTTTTTCCCCGATCTTTACTACTTAAAAAAAATGTATTCGGAATAGAGATTTTTAAAATATTATTGATATCTTTTTCTTTACCTTCCTTTCTTTCTGTCTTCTTCGAAACATGTAGTATATGAGAGCAATTACTGTAATTTAGCAGTCTCAAACCAACAAATGTTCGCGAAATAACGCGTCTACTTTTTCCCCGATCTTTACTACTTAAAAAAAATGTATTCGGGAATAGAGATTTTTAAAATATTATTGATATCTTTTTCTTTACCTTCCTTTCTTTCTGTCTTCTTCGAAACATGTAGTATATGAGAGCAATTACTGTAATTTAGCAGTCTCAAACCAACAAATGTTCGCGAAATAACGCGTCTACTTTTTCCCCGATCTTTACTACTTAAAAAAAATGTATTCGGGAATAGAGATTTTTAAAATATTATTGATATCTTTTTCTTTATCTTCCTTTCTTTCTGTCTTCTTCGAAACATGTAGTATATGAGAGCAATTACTGTAATTTAGCAGTCTCAAACCAACAAATGTTCGCGAAATAACGCGTCTACTTTTTCCCCGATCTTTACTACTTAAAAAAAATGTATTCGGGAATAGAGATTTTTAAAATATTATTGATATCTTTTTCTTTACTTCTTCTTTCTTTCTGTCTTCTTCGAAACATGTAGTATATGAGAGCAATTACTGTAATTTAGCAGTCTCAAACCAACAAATGTTCGCGAAATAACGCGTCTACTTTTTCCCCGATCTTTACTACTTAAAAAAAATGTATTCGGGAATAGAGATTTTTAAAATATTATTGATATCTTTTTCTTTATCTTCCTTTCTTTCTGTCTTCTTCGAAACATGTAGTATATGAAAGCAATTACTGTAATTTAGCAGTCTCAAACCAACAAATGTTCGCGAAATAACGCGTCTACTTTTTCCCCGATCTTTACTACTTAAAAAAAATGTATTCGAGAATAGAGATTTTTAAAATATTATTGATATCTTTTTCTTTACCTTCCTTTCTTTCTGTCTTCTTCGAAACATGTAGTATATGAGAGCAATTACTGTAATTTAGCAGTCTCAAACCAACAAATGTTCGCGAAATAACGCGTCTACTTTTTCCCCGATCTTTACTACTTAAAAAAAATGTATTCGGGAATAGAGATTTTTAAAATATTATTGATATCTTTTTCTTTATCTTCCTTTCTTTCTGTCTTCTTCGAAACATGTAGTATATGAGAGCAATTACTGTAATTTAGCAGTCTCAAACCAACAAATGTTCGCGAAATAACGCGTCTACTTTTTCCCCGATCTTTACTACTTAAAAAAAATGTATTCGGGAATAGAGATTTTTAAAATATTATTGATATCTTTTTCTTTATCTTCCTTTCTTTCTGTCTTCTTCGAAACATGTAGTATATGAGAGCAATTACTGTAATTTAGCAGTCTCAAACCAACAAATGTTCGCGAAATAACGCGTCTACTTTTTCCCCGATCTTTACTACTTAAAAAAAATGTATTCGGGAATAGAGATTTTTAAAATATTATTGATATCTTTTTCTTTACCTTCCTTTCTTTCTGTCTTCTTCGAAACATGTAGTATATGAGAGCAATTACTGTAATTTAGCAGTCTCAAACCAACAAATGTTCGCGAAATAACGCGTCTACTTTTTCCCCGATCTTTACTACTTAAAAAAAATGTATTCGGGAATAGAGATTTTTAAAATATTATTGATATCTTTTTCTTTATCTTCCTTTCTTTCTGTCTTCTTCGAAACATGTAGTATATGAGAGCAATTACTGTAATTTAGCAGTCTCAAACCAACAAATGTTCGCGAAATAACGCGTCTACTTTTTCCCCGATCTTTACTACTTAAAAAAAATGTATTCGGGAATAGAGATTTTTAAAATATTATTGATATCTTTTTCTTTACCTTCCTTTCTTTCTGTCTTCTTCGAAACATGTAGTATATGAGAGCAATTACTGTAATTTAGCAGTCTCAAACCAACAAATGTTCGCGAAATAACGCGTCTACTTTTTCCCCGATCTTTACTACTTAAAAAAAATGTATTCGGGAATAGAGATTTTTAAAATATTATTGATATCTTTTTCTTTATCTTCCTTTCTTTCTGTCTTCTTCGAAACATGTAGTATATGAGAGCAATTACTGTAATTTAGCAGTCTCAAACCAACAAATGTTCGCGAAATAACGCGTCTACTTTTTCCCCGATCTTTACTACTTAAAAAAAATGTATTCGGGAATAGAGATTTTTAAAATATTATTGATATCTTTTTCTTTATCTTCCTTTCTTTCTGTCTTCTTCGAAACATGTAGTATATGAAAGCAATTACTGTAATTTAGCAGTCTCAAACCAACAAATGTTCGCGAAATAACGCGTCTACTTTTTCCCCGATCTTTACTACTTAAAAAAAATGTATTCGAGAATAGAGATTTTTAAAATATTATTGATATCTTTTTCTTTACCTTCCTTTCTTTCTGTCTTCTTCGAAACATGTAGTATATGAGAGCAATTACTGTAATTTAGCAGTCTCAAACCAACAAATGTTCGCGAAATAACGCGTCTACTTTTTCCCCGATCTTTACTACTTAAAAAAAATGTATTCGGGAATAGAGATTTTTAAAATATTATTGATATCTTTTTCTTTACCTTCCTTTCTTTCTGTCTTCTTCGAAACATGTAGTATATGAGAGCAATTACTGTAATTTAGCAGTCTCAAACCAACAAATGTTCGCGAAATAACGCGTCTACTTTTTCCCCGATCTTTACTACTTAAAAAAAATGTATTCGGGAATAGAGATTTTTAAAATATTATTGATATCTTTTTCTTTACCTTCCTTTCTTTCTGTCTTCTTCGAAACATGTAGTATATGAGAGCAATTACTGTAATTTAGCAGTCTCAAACCAACAAATGTTCGCGAAATAACGCGTCTACTTTTTCCCCGATCTTTACTACTTAAAAAAAATGTATTCGGGAATAGAGATTTTTAAAATATTATTGATATCTTTTTCTTTATCTTCCTTTCTTTCTGTCTTCTTCGAAACATGTAGTATATGAGAGCAATTACTGTAATTTAGCAGTCTCAAACCAACAAATGTTCGCGAAATAACGCGTCTACTTTTTCCCCGATCTTTACTACTTAAAAAAAATGTATTCGGGAATAGAGATTTTTAAAATATTATTCATATCTTTTTTCTTTATTTTCCTTTCTTTCTGCCTTCTTCAAAACATGTAGTATATGAAAGCAATTACTGTAATTTAGCAGTCTCAAACCAACAAAAGTTCGCGAAATAACGCGTTTACGTATGTCTACTTCGTCCCCGATCTTTACTACTTAAAAAAAAATATATTCGGGAAGAAAGGTTGAACAACCCCTTGAGGGTTCAAGGGTTAAACCGTCGACCGTCGATGTGAACACGTCGCCACCAAGCAGCTTATCGCCTTATCGCTTGCGCAAGCACGCTGATAAAGAAGAGACCGCCGCTCTCATTCGCCTCCCCCACTTTCCTCTCCCCCACTAGTCGGCTCCCACAAAGGGGCGACGCGGCGCGGATTCTCTGTCAACTAATATTGATTATAAAACCGGCGGCGGAGGCGGCGGCGGCGGCGGTGGCGGCGGTGGTGGTGGCGATGCTTTCTTCGCTCTCCCTTTTTTTTCTTTTGCCAACCACGGGCGGTAGTACACGCGCGCGAGACACAATACGCCCGTAGTGTGCGTCGTGGCGGCGGCGGCAGCGGGGCGGCTACACGGAGGTGGTGGCGGATTTACTCTCGTCGAGAGTAACCGGGTGAAGTGAATAAGGGCCTCATCGGCTCGAACCGAGAGGCCTTGTCTCGTCTCGTCTCGTCTCGTCGAGTTTGTGATCTGTCCCGTCCGCTCCGGAAATCGTGTACGGACTCTCGCATAACGTTGCTCCGGCCTCGGAGAGGGTGCATTGACTCCGGACGCAATGTAAGTAAACGGAAGTGATATCGCGGTACCGCGTGCGAATTCTTAAGAAGCGACGATTTGTACATTCTTATAATTTGGACGCTTTATTTTGTGAAACTTTTTCCCTCCCCGATATCGTTTCGATTTTTTATTACTGCGCCTCTTCGAAATGGAGTAGGACAGACTACGAGATTAATTCGGATTGTTTGTGAGAGACGTATGGTCCCTTGGGAACTATATATTCGAGAATATAGGAGTTACGTGTTTTTCGTACATCTCTTTTGCGAGAATGTAAAAATTTAACGTACATTTTTTCTTTCTCGAAATGTAACGAAGTGCAAATAAGTCGATATTTCACAGTTCGCAGTATAATTATTTCAATGAAAAATTAATGTGAATTTACTGAACTGCGCATTATTTGACTCCATTAAAATTCATAAGTTCATACATATTTTTGTATAATCGAATAATAATAAAACAGAATAGGATCTTTCCTACAATAATACGTGACATTTGCTACTCTATTTCATGTACATACTATGGAAAATGTCAGAACAGAGCTACATATTTTTTATTTCGTTATTTGGTATTTTCGAATATATATATGTATATATAGATATGCATACACATATACAAAATTTTGACGAAAATTGAATTAAATTTGCATTCTATTCGGTTACATATATTTTTAGCGTATTATTGCAAGCACCAAGTTGTGAGAATTTATGGCTGAATAATGTAAAAATTTTAAGAAAGCAGATGTGATTGTGAAATATATCGAATCATCTGAATTTTTCATCAAACATTTATTATTTTACAAGTATGAAATGGAAGTCTAATAATTTTTTTTTTTTACACGATTCGTTGTACATATTAGAATTTATCAATATCCGCAGATGCAGATTTTGAAACATCGTCGTTTTAGATATCGTCGTGATATCGATACTTTAAGAGACTGACAATGAGACGAGATAGCGCATTTGATATTAATGGATGTTTAAAACTTTCTACTTGTGAATATTGCACTTACTCTTTGTTGAACTTCTTTCGCTGCAAAATTTTGCTGACTTTCCTTTTCAAAAGAATTTCATAAGCGATCCACAGAAATCGTTGACCGGACTGCTTACAATTTGACGTCAACTGAAACAGAAAAATGACGTGGACTGAAATAATACTAATATACTCGAGAACAAATTTAATTGAATTACAGCGCATTTACATTTACAAGAATAGCAAATATCAAAGTGACAAGTGCGATAAAAATATAATTTTAAAAGATTTTTCAATAAGATATATTTTTTGCAAAAGCTTGTGCCGAGATCTCGAGAGAAGCGAGAATTTTTCGGCGCTTAACGTAATTATGAATTTGAAACGGAATAAGCTAGCCGCGTAATACACTCACGATATACGAATCGGTATTATCGCCTAAGGGCTGGGGCGAGTCGATAATGTTATTACGCATATCGCACAAGCTTTGTTACGGAAGTACCGTATTTCGTTCGCGAGTTTCGTTAGATAGCCGGATTACTACTCCTTTTCGATGTTAATATCTCGTTGCGTTTGGTTGATCGTTGACGTGCAACAAGATTAAAGCGGATGGAATCAAAGTAATAAAAGCGAGCCCGCGGCTGATTGTACCTCGCTCGAGCTACGAAACGGTTGCATCATTGGTTAATTGCACGAGAGGGGAGAAATCGAAGAGAAATTTATATATGCTGTTGCAGAGACAATCGCAGATATCGGTTATTGCATCTTTGATGTACTCCCGAAACATATGTCGTCTATATGTGCAGCGGTTCGAAAACCATCAATTACAGCTCATTAGACAAACGATGATAATAATACAGTCGAGCAAATTACAAGGTACACATTTGTGTACCGCGATTTCATTGATTTCAGCAATTGAACTTTAGGCAACAAACATTTACAATTATATATGTATATAAACAGATGCAAAAGAGAGAGAGAGAGAGAGAAAAAATTTTAATAATAAATTATTTTTGCAAATTTATGCTATTAAATTCACTTTTGCACAAATTGCTGAAAACAAGCTTCACCCCATTTGCATATCTCGAAATTTACATGTCAGAAATAAAAATGATATATACTCTTTTATCTCTGGAACATTTTATGATTTTTCGCGCAGCAAAGAACAAAGTCACACTGAATTGAATTAAGTCGATAAAATCATGAAGAAGAATACACACACACAGTCATAAAGAACGGGGAAGTTAATATCAATTGTTGATCTTTCGCTCATCCGTAACGACCTCTCGATCAAGACCGATCGATCGGATCGAACAGACGCTTCCTCTGTTTTATCAGCTTTATAAAGCGTGGACTTTAAAGACTGGACGATGAGCTACGAGAGCGAGACGAGGCGCTTCCTGCTAGTTTGGGGCTACGAGCCTTGGCGACGCCGACTTGGGGTTCCATTCATATTCAAACGATATTTCATCGAAGACATAGACGCCAAGTGGATAGTTCTCGTTTGAGTGAAGTCGATTCCCCTTTTGTCGGCGCCTTCCGGCGTAAAATCGATATGTCGATAGCACACGCGCCCACGTTTCCGCATAAAATATATGTATATATCGCGATCACCCCGCTAAGATATTTCATTTCTCCGCGGGAGAAACTTAGCTAATAAATATCTCGTCCACTAATGATATATATATATATATAAATATCTGCTGGAAGATATATGATTGCGTTTTGCGCAGGAAGTGTTGAGGATATATTCATGCGAGCGCGCGTGATACATTTTGTTTGTGTGCGAGAAAGAGGGTTCGACTTTAACGACATAGAAACTTACATCGACGCTTTAATATAATTAATAGATATACCTATTCCCTACTGTAATCCGCTCAGAATACACGGATATACAAATGCAACAAAGTTCGCAACGTGCTCATATATTTGTATAGTCTAACTTCGTTACATATCGGCAGTCATGCATGTAAAACAAATTAAATGTTGCGTGAATATAGTACGTTTGTTTGTAAAAACCTCGCGTAAAAATAGAGTTTGAACGTAAAGAAAGAAAGACAATAATTACTTAATTACGAAACTTGTTCTTATTATTTTTAGCATTCAGAAGAGAATAAAAACCATTAAATGCGTTATTTAATATGTACATTACAATTGCACGTTGCACGTGTTATAGTATGATATACTTAAATATTTATGTATTAATTTTTATATTTAATATTGGACATTGTGTTTCAGTTATATTTAATGCAATTTCTCTCGCAGATGAAATATTTTAGTATAAAAGCGCGGTTTTGCGAGAATCGAATGCAATATGCATAGATGCAACAAAACTTGTCATAAACGCATCGTTTCACTTTACGTTTCGTTACGTTTCACATTCTGTTTGGGACATCATTGCACTCGAGAGACACGAAAAAGCCTCCTATTTTATCATCTGCAACTTTGTAAAATGGATGATTTTTTTCGCGCGTATGTATCGCATAAAATTTTTATGAGGTCGGATTTCCAGATGTGAATGCGTGTATTTTATCGCTAACACTTGTAGCACGTTTAATTCATGTTTTCTATTTTAATGAGATACTTAACGCTTAACCCCAATTCGCATATAAATACTAAGTAGTATAAAATTTATGAAAAGTTGCAATTTTTTTACAAATCAATATCAAGGTAGCACACTGTATTTAAAAGACAAACTGTGAGAATAAGTGTCGCCGAGTAAGGAGTTCGAAAACTTTCGGTTCCGAAACTTTTGACGTGGACCCGTATTTCACACATTTGCACACATGTTCGCGAACGAAACTACTTATACGCACGTGTTTCCATACGGTATTTTTTTTTACTCTTTGCAGCGCGAAAACGTTTGCAAAGTTACAATCTCGAGCAAGAGCATACGTATGTATTATATAAACTTTTTTCTGTTTGTTTCCACTAATTGTTTGAAGTAGGAAATGTTTGCAAAAATCTTGAGATCTGAAAAATTTTGCCGGAAGAACAATTCGCGTAATTTTGCGAAACTACAATTACTACTTTTCCAAGCATACAAGTGTATCATATATAATATTTATTTTCTGTTAATTTAATTATCTTTGCACATATTTAAATTTCGTATAATTTTGATCGTGGGATTCAAATCTGAAAATAATAGAAATAATAGATATATCTCTCAAGTATATGATCCGAATAACTTTTTAACATTAATAACGCATTATTTATTTTTATTTTATATAACTATGAGCTACGTACACCAAGTTAAAAAGTTACAGAACAGAAACCTGCAGCTCTTTCTTTAATTAATCTCTTGAAATATGATTGCGCTTCTATTCGAAAATAAAAAATAAAAAAAATCTCACAGGGACCGTGTGAAAAGACTAAAAGAATGGATGAAGATGTCGGAATAAATACAGAGTTATGTGAACAGCGTCTATAAAATACGGCGAAGGAGTCTCGAAAAACCTTCGACTCGAAGCTCACCCGCTAAATCCGCCGGCACGATGCTATCTCGCAAACAGTCGATACACACACACATGTATATGTATGTGTGTGTCTGTATGCAAGCGCGCATGCAAGCGACCGTCTCTCCTCCACAAGCAGTTTTATACGCACGCAGTCCGAAAACGGTATAGATTTTTTTCGCTTCGCACGCATTCGATAGCGGGTAGAGTGTCGCTTATACTAACATGGGTGTTTTCCAACAACGACTCAATGCTTGCCAACTAACGACACAATCGTACACGGCTAAAGTGCTGTGTTCCACTGTACTGTTATTTTGCGTCAGTGTACGGGCACTAACATTTTTGTATTTGATATCTCTTTTAGTCTACGGTGTGATAGAGGTCAACTTTGAAAGAAAAAAAACTTAAAAAAGCTTTACAAAATTTTAAACTTTGAAAAAGCTACGTAAAATGACTGCTCTGCATTTTGGTGATGAAAGAAAAAAGTTAAGCGGCATTCCAGTTACAAGATACAGTGTACGACTGTGTTCCATTATTGGAGAACACCCTGTATAATATGCACGAATATGTATACGCATACACCGTGATGGCATTCAACGACGATGGTATATAATCGATACGGAAGAGGTGGAATTAAGGGAATAACGAATGCATCGTTCCAATATAGACTCGCACCACGTTTTCGTTTACTGAAGGTTCTCGTCCTCCATTTGCCACCCTCGTGTCGAATCTCCCTCGATTTTCCCCCTTTCTGCATCAAAGCATCTTGATTTGCGCGCCATTACTTCAAACGTCGTACGAATCGAAAATGGTATCAGTGATTTTAGAACCGAACGAAAATCTCTGAATAATTTTCCAGTAAACTTTTGTCGCTCGGTTATCTTTGAAATTCTATGTATCTCTTCCAATAGATCCTATCGTGCTTGAAATTATAAATTCTATGCAATTTAATTGTCGAGACGGTATAATTATCTTGAGAATAGAGAGAAAGAGGACTTGTTTGTCCATCTGCTTATTTGAAAAGAGTGTGTCGTCGACTACGAGTGATAGTCGTCTGACGTTACTGACTCGAACAATTAAGGGGAATTAACGCGCGCCACGCTTTTAACTCTTTCGTTCGATGAACTTGTGCTCAAAGAAGCCTTGCGATTTGAGAGTGCAAGTCTTTCGCGAGCTCACCGACGCAACAGTGTATGAAACTGTTGATTTATCGAGCACGCAAGGGCATGTTTCATTGATCTTCACGAAACGTCTCAGGTAGCTTATAAAACCATTTTTCACCAATTAATTTCTCGTTAAAAGTAACTGACATAAAAATTGCTAGTGCAATATATTTCCATTGAAATGAGAGAAGATAATTAAATGTATATTTTTTCTGTACGAATTGTAGATATAAGTATATATTATTGACATAAAAAAAATTAAAATATATCGCAAAAAAATCATAAATTTTAAATACAATATGGAAATTTTGAAACGGAGATATTTTAAAATTGTGATTTTTCTGCGAATTCGATATCTACCTCACGAGTCTGAAATTGAATCAAATTTCAAATATTTGCTAAAGTTATCGATCTGGATATCGCATTATTTTTTTAATTCCCGAAATTGATAAATTTGCCGATGGAATATGGAAATTTAACAGACAGCTTAATCAATGTAAGAGGAGAATGTGATTGTTCCTGTCGCAGCCGGAAG